AGTCGTTGGGGCGGAGGGGGCGGTGCGCTGGGGTGCTGGGAAGCGACGCATAGCGGCGCATGTCGACACAACGCCGAAATACAGTGGTCGGGGCGGAGGGGGCAGCGCGCTGGGCTGCTGAGGGGAAGGAGAGGGGGGGGGAGCGACGACGACGCCGAAATAAAGTCGTCGGGGCGGAGGGGGCGGTGCGCTGGGGTGCTGGGGAGCGACACATAGCGACACATGTCGACACATATCGACATATAGAGACAAGTATCGACACACACACACATATCGACGCATAGCGACACAGCGACACATAGCGACGCACACATGGAGACGCATAGCGACACACAGCGACACAGACACATATAGCTACACATACAGCGGCACATGAAGGGCGCAAGGCACACAGCGACACATATAGCGACACATGAAGGGCACAAGGCAGCTGAGGGGGAGCGACGACGACGCCGAAACAAAGTGGTCGGAGCTCTAGACACCCTGTGCAAGAGTATAATCATTATCGTTAGCCTGACAAGGGACACAACCATATGCAGGTGCGAGTACCGCAATAGTGATTCACTTTTTCGGTGGCGATCCCTATGAGGCAACGAACCGTGCTAGGGGTGCGCCGACATGAGTGGCGTGGTACACAACGCGAACGAAAACGATTGATCTGAGTACGTAGGGGGACTGAGCGCGGGTGAATCTGCGCGCGTGCGTCTGACTGTGAATGAATCTGCGTGCGAGCGAGTCTACGTGCATGAATGCGAATATGACAAAGCGTGGTGCAATTGTGTATGCATGTCAATAGTTTGACACTGGCTGCCTCTGAGTACTCGTGACGCTGGGCGTGGCCGCCGCAAGGAGCTTCCCCGGGACTCCCCGACGGCATCGCCCGTGCGCCGCGACGCCACTGTCGGCGCGCCCCCCCGCGAGGATCGCGGCCGCTTCCCCGCCTTCGTTTACTCCCTCTTTGCCCGCGCACTCAAAAGTCCAAGGCTGCGGGCGCAGCGCAGCGCGGAGTCCCCGCGACGCGCGCAGGTCGCCCTGGAGGGGTCCCAGCGACGCGCGCGGGTCGTCCACTGCGCGGAGCAAAGAGAGCTAGCTGGCTGGCTGATAGCGGGCAAGGCTCTTGCCGCTGGGCAGAGCGACGACGGGCGAGCGAGGTGCTGGGGCCTTCGGTGGAGCTCCCTATGGGGCCACGAAGCGTGTGAGGGGTGTGCCAGAATTGGGGGTGGAACCGCATGCGAGCGCAGCCGCTGGGGCGTTCGGTGGAGCTCCCTATGGAGCCACGAAGCGCGTGAGGGGTGTGCCGAAATGGGGGGCGGAACCGCATGCGAGCGCAGCCACTGGGGCGTTCGGTGGAGCTCCTTGTGGGGCCACGAAACGTGTGAGGGGTGTGCCGAAAAGAGGGGTGGAACCGCATGCGAGCGCAGACGCTGGGGCCTTCGGTGGAGCTCTCTATGGGGCCACGAAACGAGTGAGGGGTGTGCCGAAATGGGGGGGTGGAACCGCATGCGAGCGCAGCCACTGGGGCGTTCGGTGGAGCTCCCTGTGGGGCCACGAAACGTGTGAGGGGTGTGCCGAAAAGGGGGGTGGAACCGCATGTGAGCGCAGACGCTGGGGCCTTCGGTGGAGCTCTCTATGGGGCCACGAAAAGTGTGAGGGGTGTGCCGAAAGTGGGTGGGGGGTGGGGGTGGAACCGCATGCGAGCGCAGCCACTGGGGCGTTCGGTGGAGCTCCCTATGGGGCCACGAAACGAGTGAGGGGTGTGCGAGAATGGGGGTGGAACCGCATGCGAGCGCAGCCACTGGGGCGTTCGGTGGAGCTCCATATGGGGCCACGAAACGTATGAGGGGTGTGCCGAAATGGGGGGTGGAACCGCATGCGAGCGCAGCCACTGGGGCGTTCGGTGGAGCTCCCTGTGGGGCCACGAAGCGTGTGAGGGGTGTGCCGAAAAGGGGGGTGGAACCGCATGCGAGCGCAGCCACCGGGGCCTTCGGTGGAGCTCCCTTTGGGGCCACGAAACGTGTGAGGGGTGTGCCGAAATGGGTGCAGGGGACGCATGCTGATGATGATGATGATGCTGATGATGATAATGATGATGATGATGATGATGATGATGATGATGATGATGATGATGATGATGATGATGATGATGATGATGATGATGATGATGATGATGATGATGATGAGGATGAGGAGGAGGATGACAATGATGATGATGATGATGATGGTGGCGATAACGGCGATGATGATGGCGATGATGGTGATGATGACGATGATGACGATGATGACGACGACGATGATGACGATGACGATGACGACGATGATGGTGATGATGATGACGATGATGATGATGACGGGAGGAGGGAGGAGGGGGAGGAGGAGGAGAGGAGAGGAGAGGAGGACGCGGGGCACCGTCTCTTCAAAACGAAGACCCAACACCACAGGATGGTTGGGAATAATACTCATATCGTTCGACACACCTAATATATATATATATATATATATATTATATATATATTATATATATATATATATATTCCTCATACGCACCTCTCCGAGGGAGTAGAGCTCAGAGGCGATTAGTGCGTCCGTCGTTCGCGATGTTTCTGGCCGTTTCGCTCGGGACATCCTCGAAATTCTGAAAATCGGTGGCACCCCTCACGCAGATCGTGACGTCAGGGTCCAAAAACACATAGGATTTCCAACATTTTATCATAAAACCTTCAAAAACACATGGTAATGTCAATGATTTTGACTCCGATTCTCAGAGAATGGCGGTTTCGCTTGAGACATCCTCCCAAAATCGAGCCCCAGACCCCTCCTCGGAGCCTCCTGGGGGCCTCCTGGAACCTCCTGGGGCCTCCTGGGGCTTTCTGGACCTTCTGGTACCCAGACCCCGCCTCGGAGCCTCCTGGAGTTCTCCTGGGCCTGCTGAGGCCGCCTGGGGCCTCCTGGGGCCTCCTGGGGCCTCCTGGGGCTTCAGAACTACATGCACACACAGAGACACAAATCACGCCCAACACATCACACGCTAGACAACATAACATACACACACAACACCGACAACACGCAAAAAGCACGCACCACACAAAGCACACATCACACACACACACAACACTCACAATCCTGGGGCCTCCTGGAGCCTCTCCTGGTATCCAAGTCGGGCCTCCTGAGGCTTCCTGGGGGGCCCTGGTAAACACATCGCAAGGTGTGGCAACCCCACTTGCGCTCGAGTGCGACTTCGCTGTTGCATGTCACTCCTGCTTCAAACGCCCCTTCAGCTTGTTGTATGAGCCTGGGCACACACGTGCCACTTGTGTGTATATATATGTAACGACGACAGGCAGCTGGACGACCTGTGGGTGCTGGACACGCGCCGCCGCCAGGCGCGCTGGCTCTGCCCGCAGACCTCGGGGAGCCCGCCGGACGGCGGCCGGAGCGGCCACAGCGCCACGGCGGTGGTCGGCGGTTCAGAGACGGGGTCCCGAGGGATGGGGTCCTAAGGATTGGCAGGGATCCAAGGGTCCCGAGGGATGGGGTCCTAAGGATTGTCGGGTATAGCCAGGACTCCAGGTAAGGGGACCCGCTTCGTAGTAGGCCCCGGAGCCCCTAATTTGGCCAGAATCACTAAACGAGGTCTGCCGTAGCTGGTGTTTTGGTCGGGTGGTGATGGCAGTTCCGGTTAGTGGAGAGGGGCGGGGGGGGCGTCCCCCAGTACACATCACTGCGTTCCCCAGTACACATCACTAAACCAGGTCCCACTAAACCCAGTTCTGCCAACGCCCGAGATTGGCAGGGATCCAAGGGTGGATCTACGTTGTTTGAGGCGGAGCTCGCCGGACGGCGGCGGGAGCGGCCACAGCGCCACGGCGGCGGTCGGTGGTTCAGAGATGGGGTCCCGAGGGATGGGGTCCCGAGGGATGGTGTCCTAAGGATCGGAGAAGGGGTCCAAGTCAAGCAGTGGCGAAGCGTCCTGGCGTGCCTATAGGCCTACCAACCAATCTTCTAAGAACCTTTTGTGCTCTGCACGGGGTCTTCTCAGAACGTTGCTGGCTGGGGCTGTCTTGTTTCAGCACATCGGGTTGATGTTCAGAGAACATTGCTGTTGCTATTAGAACATCTCCGGCGCTCTAAGAACATGTCGTGGTAGGCCTATAGGAATGCCGGGACGGTCGGTCCCTGCTCAGAAGATGGGGTCCCGACGGCTTATTGGGCCCTGGAAACGACCGGGCCGTTTTTTTACCGGTTCCGTTTTGCAGTTTTTTTGCCGGTTCCGACGCTGTTTGTTTACCGGTTCCGTCGCCGTTTTTTGACCGGTTCCGGCTCCGGTTCAAATCCTGGAGCCGTTTTTTTGCAGTTTCCGGTCGCCGTTTTGTGCCGTTTCCATTTTTATGGGGCCCTTTTTTTGGAAACGGTGAAAAAATCTGCCCTGCCGTTTCCGGGGCCCACAAGGCCCGACGGATGGGGTCCTAAGGATCGGAAGGGATCCCATGGTGGATCCTGCGTTGCTTGAGGCACCTCGCCCTCAGGGCCCCATCCCTCGGGGCCCTGGCTCTGGGCCGCCGAGGTGGGGGGCCGCCTGGTGCTGATCGGGGGGGAGCGGGAGCTGCAGCGCGAGTTCTTCCACGACGTCTTCGTGCTCGACACGGAGCTCCCCGAGCACGGAGGAGGAGGAGGAGGAGGAGGAGGAGGAGGAGGAGGAGGAGGAGGAGGAGAAGGTAATAGCACGATGGAGGCGTGGGACTCGCGGAGGTCCCCGTCTTCGCCTGAAGGGTCGTAGTTCTGGGCGGGTTGGCCTGAGGTGCGTCTGCAGAAAAAAAGACCACTTCTCCCTGATGCTCTTGGCCTCCCTAACGCAAGCCCCCCCTCCCAAAACGTTGGGAGTCCTCTGTTGGTCCATCAGGACCTGCTGACCTGGGCGCTGTGGTCTGATACGCAATTCTGGGCGGTCTGGTCTGCTATACGTCTGCAGGAAAAAAACCTATCCCTGATGTCCTTGGCCTTCCCAGCATAGGTCTTCTCCAAAAGCGTTAGGGGTATTTGTTTGGTCACCGGGACCTGCTGACCTGGAGCTCGGCCACGTCTGCAGAAAAGGAGCCCCTATCCCTGATGTTCTCGAACTTCCTAACGTATGTCCCCTCCCAAAGCGTCAGGATTTGTTGGTCACGACAGCTTCGCAGATCGCAGACCCCCAGGGACGGCGAAGTCTCGCTCCGATGCCCGCGGCGCCTCACTCCGCAGGACCCACCAGCAGCCTTCGAAAGTGGCGAGAGTGTCGCAGATCGCAGCCCCCCAGGGACGGCGAGGTCTCGCTCAGATCCCTGCGGTGCCTCACTCCGCAGGACCCACCAGCAGCCCTGGAGCTGCTGACCTGGGAGGTCTGGTCTGATATAAAATTTTAAGCGGTCTGGTCTGACATACGTCTGCAGGAAAGACCCCCGATCCCTGTGGTTCTTTGCCTTCCTGACTTAGGTCCCCTCCCAAAACGTCTGGGGTCCTTTTGTGGTTCTTCTGGACCTGCTGGCCTGGAGCTCGGCCAGCGTCTCTGGGCGGTTTGGGTTGATACATCTGGAGAAAAGACCCCCCTATCCCTAATGTTCTTGGCCTTCCCAACTCAGGTCCCCTCCCAACTCGTTAGCGGTCCTTCCCTGACCTTTCAGAGTGTTAAAACATCGCCCTCCAGGCCCATAGCTCCATCTGGACTGCTCAAAGCCTCGATGGGATTGCAGATGTCGAAGTCCTGGTGCTCTTTCGTAGCCCTCGAGCCCGGTCCGGGTTTTTCTTGGGGCTCCTCAGGACCTGCTCACCTGGAGCTCGGCCGGCGTCTCCGGCCGCGCGCCGGTGCCGCGCGGCTGGCACAGCGCCGCCGTGCTGCCGGAGCCGGGCGCGGGCGGCGGCGCCGGCGAGGGCGCTGCGGCAGAGGGCGCGCGCGTGCTCGTGTTCGGCGGCGGCAGGTGCTCCCCATAGGGGCGTGTCGGCTTGTCGCCAATCGACCGGTGGGGATCGAGCCAGGGAGGTCCAGGTAGGTGCAAGTCAATCGAGGCAACTCCAGGTACATCGAGGCAGATCCAGGTATCACCACCCACCAAACCACCCCAACCCAACCCGAAGGCTCAGATTTACCCTCGATTTCCAGTGGGGGGGGGTCGGGAAACATCGAAAAAACACATGTGGAACCCTTACCCCCCCCCAACCCGAAATTCGGGTCGTCGGGTTGGGTTGGGGTGGTCTGGTAGGTAGTCAAGGTAGATGCAAGAAATCAAATATTCCCAGGGAAAGTTGGAGGAATTCGCGGCCGCCCCAGCCCGCGTTGAAGGACGCCAGAAGTCGTTGCCAGAGGGCCCGCGCGTCCTCGTGTTCGGCAGCGGCAAGTATTCAAGCAGTGGCGAAGCGTCCCGGCTTGCCTATAGGCCCACCGCCCAGACCCCCTCGCGTTGTGACAAAAATCACGACGGGAGGTTTTTCGCCATTTTGAGCTTCCGGTGGCCCTTCCCGGGCCTCGGGACCTTCACAAAACGACTCAGGATGAATAATCGGTCCTGGGGGATGGGTCCAGAACTTTGTGGGTCGCGTCATGAAAAAATCATGATGTCGTGGGTCTGGGCAAACAATGTTCTAAGAAACTGCCGTGGTGTGCACGACATGTTCTCATAACATTTCTTGCAGAGGCCGTCTTGTCTGAACACATCAGGGTCATGTTCTAAGACCAGTGTTTCTGTTATTCGAATGATTTTGGGTTCTAAGTGCATGTCGTGGTAGGCCCCTGGGAGTGCCGGGACGGTCGGTCCCTGCCCAACAGGTACAGCCAGTTCTTCAACGACGTCCACGTCCTCGACACCGGCGCTGGCGGCCACCGCTGGCCCGTGCCGCCCAGCTCGAGGTGGAGACAGCGGCATAGGCAGAAAGTGTTGGCGCTCCGCGCGGGGTTCTGGGGTCCGCGCTGGGCCCCCCCCCCCCCGGCGGCGCCTCCGGCGCCGCCCCTGGCGCGCTCCGCGCGCCCAGGAGCGGGGGGGGGTCCAGCGCAGATCCGAGCACTTCGCCCGCAGCGCCAAAAGTTTAGAGATGCTCGTGCCGTTCTCTCTCCTCCTCCAGCCCAGCGACCTCGCCCTGGACCTCGGGCGGCTGCTGCTGGACCGGGGCGACCTGGCCGACGTGCGCTTCGCCGTGGAGGGCGGCGCCCGGGAGCTGCGCGCGCACAGCCAGGTGCTTTGCGCCCGCAGCCCCGTGTTCAGCGCGATGCTGTCGGAGCCCGGAGCTCAGGGGCAACGATAGGGGGGGATAGGCATAGGGGGGGACGCATCGACCCCCAATCGCCCATTGATCGCCGACTGGGGCCCGATAGCCCCAACCTGCCCAGGAAGGTGCGGATTCACGATCGGAGGCCTGTCTCCGGTCTATCCGCGATGTGTCGCCGATTCCAGGTCGATGCATCCCCCCCTGTGCCAGTCCTCCCCCTTATAGTTGCTCCTCATGAGCTGAGGGCGCGGCAGAAGCTCAACTTTTTCGAAGGCCCGCAGAGGCCTCTCGGATCGGCGCTATAGAGCCCCCTGGTGTGAAGTCGGGCCTGTCCCTCGACAGGGGGGGGGGCAGTTTCGAACATAGTTTTGAAAATATGTTGTCTGGGGAAGATTATTGTTTTTACTATTCTTTGCTATGCTTGAGCATGTTGGGGGTATTTTCCCCAAACAGTGCTTGCACTGAAGGGGTCCTGACAAAAGTTGAAAGATTTGGCGAAAGTTCCCCACCGATTTTGGTGGCAGGCTGGGTTCCCGGATTCCCGGTTCTGGATTCCCGGGTTCCCGGTCATTGGTTCGGGGCCGATTTCGGTGGGTTCTGGGTTCCCGGGCTCCCGGGTTCCCAGTCGATCTCCTCAGCGTGAACCATCCATGGATTGGGTGTTTTTCTCCGGTGTGATCTAATTTTTCGCCCCAAATCCGCCTGTAGTCGGGGGCGGAAAAGAGGGGGGTGATGACTAGGGGGGTGTGGATATCATGGCGGGGGCCATGATATCTCTCCCCAGATTTCATGGCGCCTCTTCTTATTTCATTACGTCCCTGGCCCCCCCGCTGGGCCGCGCACATGCCGCCGGTCATGATTTGCACCCCCTCCTCTTGGACACCCCCCTCTTGGCCGCTCCCGATGTAGGATGACAGGCCCGACCTGACGCTAGAGCCCCCTGGTGCCGCCCCCGGCGCGCTCCGCTGGCGCGCGCCCGCGCGCGCCAGCGGAGGGAGGCCCAGCGCCGGATTCCAGAAGCCCGCGCGGGCCGCCCAAGAGTTTTCGCTTGGGCCGACGCTTCTCCGATCGGCGCCACCCCAACATAATGGAGGATGACGATTATAAATGACCGGGGGTCGTGTTCACGCGGCGGCGCCCAGGATGACGATTAGAAAAAACCGGCCGCGGGCTGGAAAACTATTTTTTAATCGTTCTCCTCCAGTCAGAAACTTGTGCAGAAATAGCAGGAAACTATTTTTTGTTGAACGTTCCCTCCCATTTTTTATTAATCGTCATCCCGCATTACTTATACATGTGTGCGTCGCGCCCCCAGGGGCGACGCGCGCACCGAGAAATCTTATAGTATATGCGTCGTGGCGGGCGCTTTCTGGCCACACCGCTCGGGAAACAATGTACTACAAGATGGGTATAATTACTATATGTCCGGGTCGGACGCGCGCCTCCGAGGAGGACAGGTAGTATTAGTATGTCTCTGTGCGTCCCATCCTACGGTGAGGGCGTTGGAGAGGGAGCCAGTAGATGAGGAACCCAGAGTCTGGAAGGCTGTGAAGCTCCAGTTGAGGCAAGTGGCCATGGGTGTCACCGCCGCTCTCATCCGATGAGGACTCCTCAAGGGTCTCAATCTTCATGGGCACCCTCCTTCACCAACGCCCCCACACCGTGCGTCGAAGAAAGAAGCACGGAGGAACATGGCCAAGGTGTCGCGGGATCTTGGCGACGCCGATGTTGGTCATGGTCCATGTCGGCCGTCGCCGATTCGCGAGGATGGTCCACTAATTGACGCTGACCAAGATCGACGCTGACCAAGATGGACTCGACGTTCCCACGTTCAGTCTGGGTCATGGTCCCCCTTTTTCTTCGCCTCACCGTCTATCGGCCATGCGCAGAGGGGGGTAATGGAAGGGGGGGGGCTTCTTAGAAGCACCCCTGCTTCTTAGAAGGCGCGGGCCTTCTCTGTAGGTGCACGACCGGCGCCTTCTTAGAAGCAGTGTCTCTCTAAGAAACCTTCCCCCCTCCCCCTAACCCCCTTGGGGGGCACGACACTGTCCTCGTCGGGCCTCCTCGGGGCGCGGCGGAGAACTCCATTGAGGTCCCCGCCCGCTCCCCAGGGTGCCCCACAGGGTGCCTGTTGAAACCACACCCCACTCTTTTCAAAGTCAGCCATGGTCGAGTAGGGAGGGTATCGACTGCAGAATTGATTTACCCCAAAAAGTCGGGTTGTTCGTCGCATGAGAACTGCGTCGCTCGAAGATCTGCGAACCTTCGACGCACGACTCGACGAGAGGATCAAGTTTGAGGTGCACGTGGACTTTTGGGCGATCCCCTGCTCGAGGTTCTTGGGCTCGGGTCCCCAAGACCCCCGACATCATGATTTTTTTCATAACGTCGCCACCAGGAGGAGGAGCAGGAGGGAGGAGGAGGAGGAGGAGGAGGAGGAGGAGGAGGAGGAGGCCTTCGGCCTCGCCACCGGCTTTCCATCCTGGATCGCTCCTGAACGGCCCCGAAGGCCGGCAGGGGCCCCCCAGAGGCCGAAACTGGGGGAATCCCTCCTCGTCCACCTCCCTCCTCCCTCCTCCCTCCTCCCTCCTCCTCCTCCTCCTCCTCCTCCTCCTCCTCCTCTTCCTTCTCCTCCTCCTCCTCCTCCTCCTCCTCCTTTTCCTCCTCCTCCCTCCTCCAAGACAGCGACCGAAGACCCTCGCCATCTTGCCGCCCCGTGCAGTGGCATCACACGTAAGGGCAAGGAGAACCTTGCCAAGATTGATAAAGGCTTGTTCACCCGCGCCCGCGCGGGGCGCGATGGCCTTATTCCATATTTTCGAGCGGCGACCCACGGCATGGCCGTGGACGAAGCGGTCGCCGCCGCTGCGCTTGCCGCTCCTGCCGCCAGCGCTCCATAGGCTGAGCTTATCCTTTTTCGAGTTGGCACGCTTCGCACCTGAATGCGTGAGCCCGCGCTGGGCGCCTCGGCCTTCTCTTTTACTTTGAGTGGCGACCCACGGTTAGGCCGTGGATGTCGCCGTCGCCGCTCCTGCGCTTGCCGCTCTTGCCGCCAGCGCTTTATAGCCAGTGCCCAACTTTTGATGAGTTGGCACGAACCGCACCTGGGTGTGCATCATCGCAATCTCCTTAATATCCTCCTCCTCCTCCTCCTCCTCCTCCTCCTCCTGCTTCTCCTCCTCCTCCTCCTCCTCTTCCTCCTCTTCCTTCTCCTCCTTCTCCTCCTCCTCCTCCTCCTCCTCCTCCTCGATCCCCCTCCTCCTTCGTCCCTCCTCCCTCCTCCTCCTCCTCTTCCCCCCTCCTCCTCCTCCTCCCCTCCCCCTCTCTCCTCCTCCTCCTCCTCCTCCTCCTCCTCCTCCTCCTCGATCCTCCTCCTCCTCGATCCTCCTCCTCCTCCTCCCTCCTCCTCCTCCTCCCCCCTCCTCCTCCCCTCCTCCTCTCCTCCTCCTCCTCCTCCTCCTCCTCCTCCTCCTCCTCCTCCTCTCCTCGATCTCCTCCTCCTCCTCGATCCTCCTCCTCCTCTCCCTCCTCCTCCTCCTCCTCCTCCTCCTCCTCCTCCTTCTCCTCCTCCCAGGAGCGTGGGGCGTGGGCCGAGGGGGCCTCCGGCGCCCTGCAGCTCGAGGGCGTCTCGGCCGAGGCCCTCGAGCGCTTCCTGGAGCTCCGGAGGGGCAGAAACACGCACAGACACAAGGAATCGCCGATCAGTACCGTTTACCGATCCCCATCCCCTCCTCCTCCTCCTCCTCCTCCTCCTCCTCCTCCTGCTCCTGCTCCGTGCTCCTCATATTCCCCGTTTCCTCCTCCTCCTCCACCTCCTCCTCCTCCTCCTCTCTCCTCTCTCCTCCTCTCCCCCCTCCTCCTCCTCCTCCTCCTCCTCCTCCTCCTCCTCCTCCTCCTCCTCCTCCCCCCCCTCCTCCTCCTCCTCCTCCTCCTCCTCATTCTCCTCCTGCCATCCGTCGGGGGAGGATCGGACGGGGCCAGGGCGAGGATAAATCTCGGTATCGTTTGTCCGATGCCCATCCCCATCCCCATCCCCTTCGAGACCCCCACCAAATTCCCACCCCAGTTGGGGATGCACCCCTCGAAGCCCGAAGGAAACGGCCTATATATATATATATATATATATATATATATATCCCCATCTGGGGGGGAAATCGGCCAGTGGGGCACAGGCCGCGCCGTTGGGGATGGGCATCGGTTAAGCGATACTCAGTCGGCTCCCAGGAAAATTTGGGGAAATGCAGTGGAGGCCCCTGCCAAGAGACACCCGTGCCAAGAAACAGCCCAGACGCGGAGCCCCGAGACCCTGGCGTTGCGATGTTTGTTCGCAAGGGGCGTGCTCGCCCAGCCTCGGGCCCTGGGGCCCTCACAGATCGATCCGGCTCGAAAAAGGACGCAGAAAGGCGGGGTCCCGGAAACCAGGACACAGATAAACCAGGACACGGAAAACCAAGGAAACGACATCGTTTCCTGCAAAGTCGCGTTTTTCAGCACCCGTGCATGTTTTGTTTGCTGCACTGCAGGATTCGGGATTGTGTCCGGGTTTAGGGGGGTCTTGCAGGCTTTTTGAGGCCTGTGTCCGGGTTTATTCTGGAAATGCTGCAGTGCAGTACTTTGTTCGTGCCGCCGTTTGGAAAAGTTGGTTTCGAGGAATGTTGGGTGTCCGGGTCTAGCGTGTCCGGGTCTACGGGGCCCTGAGAAAGGCGGGATCCAGGGCGCCGGGCGATATTTTCCACGATATTAGGTCACCACCCACCAAACCACACCAACCCAACCCGAAGGCCCAAATTTATCCTCGATTTCCAGTGGGGGGGGGTCGGGGAACATCGAAAAAACACATGGAATCCGTACCCCCCCCCAACCCGAAATTCGGGTCAAATTCGGGCCTTCGGGTTAGGTTGGGGTGGTCTGGTAGGTAGTCATTAGGGGGACAAAAAGTGTCATAAACATCAGAACTCGGAGGTCGGCGCCGATTGCTCGGATCGGCGCTGGACCCCCCTCCCTGGCGCGCGGAGCGCGCCAGGGGCGGCGCCGGAGGCGCCGCTGGGGGGGCCCAGCGCCGATCCGAGAAATCCGCGCCGACCTCAGAGTTTTTATGTTTATGTAACTTTTTTGCTCCCCTAGATATTGTATTTTTTCGCTACGGTGGAGACCCATGCCAAGAAGCACCCTGCTTGCCTCCAGGGTGCCCTGGGTTTCTTGGGTTTCGATGGTGTTGCCGTGGAAGGCGCGACGTTCCCACGCCGAAAATCGATGGACGTCCTGGGGTCTCAGGGTTGGGTTTCTTATGGAAGGTTTCTTGTGGTCGGGCCTCCACTGTATGGGAAGTGAGTGGGGGGGCGGTGACGAAAACCCAGAACACAGGGGAGAATTTTGGATCCGCGCTGGGCCCCCCTCGACGGCGCCTCCGGCGCCGCCCCTGGCGCGCGGAGCGCGCCAGGGAGGGGGGTCCAGCGCAGACCCACGAAATCCGCGCGGAGCGCCAAAAGTGTATGCTTATGGCGCCTTTTCTTCTTGCAAGGAAGATGTGGAAGACATGGGACGTGGGGGGGGGGGGGAGACGAAAGCCTCGAAACTAGGGGAGCATATATGAGGGGAATCCTGGCGCTCGTGTCCTTGGCATCGCTCGGACGTGTGCATGTTTCCTTCGGCGAGGACCATCGAGGAGCATCCTTGATCATTTGGCGAAAAAGCCACGCACGAAATCGAAACTAGGGGAGCACCTATGAGGGGGGAGTCCTGGCGCTCGCGTCTGCTCCTCTGTGTGTCCCTGGGCCCCCTCCTTTGAGGAGTACCTCTACACGGGCAGCTGCGGCCTCGAGGGCGGGCTCCCCGCGGACGGCGCGGCCGGCCGCGAGGGCGTGGACCCCGGCGTGCGGGGGGCCCTCGACCTCCTCGAGCTCCGCGGCCGGCCGGCCGCCCCGCGGAGGCGGCCCGGGAGCCCTGAGACGGGGGTCGGTGCAAACGGGGGTCAGCCAGAGCGCCCGATCTTGCAGGATCCTGCACGGCCAGGGTCGCATTGACCCGGGTTTGGGTGCAGGACCCTGCAGGATCCTCTGCATCGACCCGGGCTTGGGTGCAGGATCTTGCAGGAGGTTGCAGGATTCTGCAAGGGCTGACGGACCCGGGTCTGGATTGACCCGGGTCAGAAGATCCCC